AAGTAACGTTTTTCCTTCTTTAGCTTTAAAAAAAGATTGTTTAATATTATTAATCAATAATTAAAAATAGAGTAGATTATAATCTTGAAAAAAATGTTTAATAGCTATATACTAATGGTATAAAACAATTTTACAATATTAACTAATAAAAATCATATTTGATATGACATTTAAGGTAATTATAATATAAAAGTCAACGAATTTATCATATATATGAAGATTTATGTTTGGATGAAATTGTAAAATTATTTTATATGATAAAATTAAACGAGTTCATTAAATTTTTAAATGAAATGATATGCACTTAAATAAATAAATGTCAAAAGAAACTAAAGTCTCATCCGACCTACTATATAATAATAAAAAACTAGATCACAATCATTGTATTAAGAATTCTACAATTGTTATAAAACACTTAGATCAGAAGTTATCTAAATATTTATTTTATCTTTAATAATCAAGTATAATATATATCCTAGGGTCTTTGGTTAATTTACTTAATTATTATAAGATATAGAGCTGTGATTTATTTCTCTCATGCAAAACAAATAAAAAAAATGAAAATAAGAAATAAAAATTTCCAACATGTTGACGCGGCAAATAGATACATGTTTCCTTAACTCCATTGATCCAAAATTTTGACGAATTGAAGGGAAACTAATAATTTATATGTAGGCTAACTTTCAACATTACAAAAGGTATTTTTGTATAAGCAAATAATTAAAAACGCATTAAAAAAAAGGGCATGGAACACTCTAGACAATAAGTTGTGGCCTAAATATTAAATAACAGTTGGCATGGATCATGGGGTTCAGTGGTTCACGACTCTTCAAGTTCTTGTTTCGGTATTTCTTCTACCTATCCACGTAATTAAGTTCATATGACAATGCTGATTTTAAGAAGAGAAATTCTGAATAGTATGAAACGAAATTTGACGAATTCGGCTTGGGACTCCGAGAGATCAAACTTCGAGAAAGAGCTTGAAGAGGTCAGGTTAGTCCGAGATCAAAGCGTGGATGCGGCTCAAGCCTCCGAGAGAGAGCTAACCTTGGTGAAGGCAGAGGTTGAAAGGCTACAGGCAGAGCTGCACGCCGTGAAGGTGGACTCGCTGAAGAAGTTTATGCAAGGTTTCGATGCTGCCAAGAGCCAAGTAAATTTTCTTCATGGTGACATTGACCTTGAAGGTCTCGGCTACTTCAAGGAGATCGTGGATGGCGAACTCGTGGATCCCCCCGAGGATGATTGAGTTTTTGGATGTTGCACTTTTCTTTTAGCTCTCCTTTGTTGTCACTTGTTTTAAGAACTATTGTAGCCTTTCCTTTTTTTGGATCTTGTTATGAATTCTATGGGTTGCTTCTTGGTACAAGTTGATTGATTGATTCGTTGCATTTATGCATAATTTTCAGTGGAAAATTTTATAAGTTAAGATAATCATGGTGAATATAGTCGGTCAAGTTCCAACCATAAAAATGCGTCGAATATAAGTTAAAGTAGCCAAATGGTGGATATAATCGGCCAAATTTGAAAACCAATGCAACTAATCGCCCAAATTCTGACTACTAAGATAACGAGTATTTTCCGTTAACATTTGAAAATCAATGCAACCAGTCGCCCAATTACCGACTAGAAATATAACAGATTTTTTCTAAGTTGAAGTCCGTACGCCAACACATAGTCGGCCAAATTCTGACTATTAAATTAAGGAATGTTTTAGTTAAAATTTGAAAATCAATACCCCGATGCGTTGTCGACTAGACAATCTATGTTGGGCAGCGGGTATGAATCTTTTGGACAAGCTTTGTTTAAATCGGTGAAGTCCGTGCACATCCTCCAATTTCCGTTGCTCTTTCGTACCATTACCACATTCGCTAGCCATGTCGGGTATTGGATTTCCTGAATGTGACCAGCTGTCGACAATTTCTTTGTCTCCTCGGCTATGGCCCTCTTCTTATCCTCTCCAAACTTTCGTCATTTCTGGATCACCGATTTCGCATTGGGGTCGACCATTAGACGGTGACATAGAAAGTCGGTACAATGAGTATGATTAAAGATATTTTACTAAATATAATGTATATTTTATATAAAATTATGAAAATTAAATATATTTAACTATTATTCTTAATACATATGAAATTAATTATTTTTTACTAACTTCTTAGAAAGATTGCCTCCATATTTGATAACGAATACTTTGTAATGAAAAAATAATAATAATTATTTTTTTCACTTATATAAGTCTAAAGGAGTATTTTACCACTGCCCCAACTCATTACTTAATTATGAGATGAATCGCAAACCGTATATGAAAAATAGTACTAATTAACATGCAATGTAAGGCTAGTCGTAGGTCAACAAATTTAGACAAATGAAAGGAAAGTAAGGACATTGACAAAAACATCATGGCTGACTCAAATGCTAAGATCACAAGACCAACCACATATATATCAGAATGAAACATATCATCGCAAAACAACCTCTCTTAAATGGTAGGGCCTTAAATGATAGAGTTGGAGGAAGATCATTATAATCCTCATTCAACTCTGATGTAACATGGATAACCTAATCAGGATAAGATTTTGCAATCACTACGTGTATATTTTGAAGGATAATAAGTATATGCAAGCAGTGGAATTAGTTCTATTTAGAAACAAACTAATGTTAACTTGGCTACTTTTGTATAACGCAAATAGTGTATAGACGTGCATTTAATTTCCTACAAAAGTTGCAAATTGTAAGAAAGTGATCGACCATATCATCAACATTTGATATGCCCATCCTAAGTAAATGTAAAATTTAACCGTTAAAATGATATGCTATAAAAAGAAACCATTTAAAAGTATAATAAAATAAGCTAGCTAACAAAATCATTCAAGCATATTTAGTAATTAGACTCGTTAAACGCGATCAAATTGAGATTTTTTCTGTAACCAAACAAAATTCATATGCGTAACTGTAACATAGTAAGTTGGTTCAGGGTTTAGTGGATGCTAGAGAGAAGAGTATATAAGGTTTTCTCTGAGAATGGAGTCTCATAAGCTCATTTTCAAAGAAAATCTAGAAAGAGATTTTAGAGAGAAGGACTCTGGGTCCGTGAGCTCCTTTCTCTCCCAAATTTCTCTGTTTGATTCTTCTTCTACCCTAGATCACTAATTCCTTATGTATTTTCTTGGAATTCAGGCTAGAAAGCTTATTTTTTGTAGATTGAAGTTCGTGAGTCGAGCTTTGGGAGAAATTCTTCTTCTTCTCAGTTCTTGGCTATTATGAGCCAACTTTTAGGTGAGGGAAGCTAGAATGTATGTTGATTGGTTACATGTGAGTTTAGAAACTCAATTGGTGCATGAATTTCGAGAATCAATGGTTGAATGGAAGGACTTCTTATTTTTGGGGGTTTTGGGAAAAATGGGGTTTTTGGTGATTTTGATGCATCAGATGGGTGCATGTTGAATCTGAGTTTGTTTTCGAGTTATATGGAGCCTATGTGTTATGTTTCATGGATTGCATGTAGCTGGATTTCCTGATTTTCAGGTTTTGATGGAATTTTTGAAGTTTTGGAGGCTGTTATTTGAATTTGCGTCAGGCATATGTTATTGGCGTTGTGCGTGCATTCATCAGAGGCAACCATTTCAAATTCACGCCGAGCGCGAGGTTAGTCACGTCAGGTGCAAATTGAGATGGGAGTCTCTAGATGAGTCGCGCCGGGTGTGAGGATAACCACGCCGAGCACGATATCATATAGTGGCCCTGTATGTCATGTTACTGATATGGCGCTGGGCGTAGGGTGGGTGCGCCGGGTGTGGAGACCCTTGGAGGTCTCTGTCTGATTTGGCACCAGGCGCAGGGTGGGTGCACCGGGCGTGGAGACCCTTGGAGGTCTCTGTCTGATTTGACGTCGGGTGCAATAATTCCAAGCGGGCGTGGGAGAGTCTTAGAGCTCTTGAGTTGGATTTGGGCCAGGCGCGAGCTGACTTGCACTAGGCGTGAGTATGCTTGGTGTTATGATTGAAAATGATGCTTTTGCATGTTTAAGGTTGAAGTTGGATCATGTATGTATGATATATGATGTATAGTGATGTATGATTTATATGTATGCTTGGTAATGATATATATGAATGTTTAAATATGATATGACATGTGTATATGTTCATATGAGGATGATATTGATCATGATGGTGGATTGACCATATATGATGTATGATGCATTATTGCATGTGATGCCTTATGGCATGTGTCTAGCCTAGGACTTGAGGAGAGGGAAAATGTTTTCGAACTAGAAGAGCTCACATAGAGTCTCTTGAGAGTGGTGCTTGTACAGGCCATTGATATAAATGAAAGTGGTGCTTAGATAGACCACTAGTTTTTGGGTGAGAGTGGTGCTTGGATAGGCCACTAGTTTGGGTGCGAGTCTCCTCTAAGTCCTTAGCTAGTGTTGGAGCGGGGTATGAGATCGAGGGTTATTCCCTTAACCAAGTACTAGGGAAGGTGCGTGGTTCCATGCGGATAATCGGTGGGTGAACTCCACAAGTGACTTGGTAATGCATGCCAAGGTCGTGGTAAGCCTGTATCCAGCTGTACTATACCTAACGATGAAACTGGACTTCCAAGTGTGTAAGTGACATCATCTGAGTAAACCCGAGTGGGTACTCTCTCTTTCACGTGTGGGTGTGGCTTTGCTCTAACATTCTTGGGTCATTATATGGTGCACCATGATTTTTGGTAAGAGGTCAAATTTCCTTTTCAAATTTTAACTTACAAATACTCAATAAAACAGTGCCACATCTCATTTGTTCTGTTTTTTGTGCAAAAGACTTTATAATAAATAGCAAAACTATTTTAAGAATGTGAGATATATAAATTCAAGATATAAAATCATATATTAATCAAGATAAAAAAAAAAGTCAATAATTACACTTCTATTTTAAAAAAAAAAAACCTATATGTATTTATCTTTTAACATCAACCAATAGATGATGCAATATAAGTCTACCAAAAAAAAAAAAAAACCAAGAACTCAAACACTCGTTATATAATTCTGTAGCAATTTGTGCTGTGAGGATAATCAAGATAAATTCTAGTTAGTTTCTAAAACTGGGGAAATGGCTTTGAGTTTTGAGTCCTACAAGTGGAAGTACGATGTATTCTTGAGCTTTAGAGGGCATGACACACGCATGAGTTTCACAAGTCATCTTTATCATGCTCTATGTCAAAAAGGAGTTAATACTTTCATAGACTACAAGGATCTCAAGAGGGGAGAGAAGATTTCAGCTTCACTTTTTGGAGCTATTGAAGTCTCAAGGATCTCAGTAGTCATATTATCTAAAACTTATGCTTCTTCCACTTACTGCTTGGATGAACTCCTTAAGATCCTTGAGTGTAAGGATTCCAAAGGTCAACTGGTTTTGCCTATTTTTTATCACATGAATCCATCTCAGGTAAGAGAACAGAAGGGAAGCTTTGAAGAAGCTTTGGCCCAACATGAAGATAAATTCAGGGATGATGTGGACAAAGTGAAAAGGTGGAAGGAAGCTCTATGTGAAGTAGCTACTTTGTCTGGCTGGCACATAGGAGATGGGTACATATCCTTTAAAAGATTGTTACCTTTCTGGTACTCCATGTTTTGATTAGTAATTAGTTTACATATTTTGATGACTCGTCACACAATTATTGACTAATAATCTGATGAGTTGACATAGTAATTAAGCACTTATGAGAATGATGTATTTAGTGGAGAATTTGTGTTCGATTTTTGTCATGTACGAAAACTCTTCGGACCAACAATAAACACAATATCATAAGTAAGATTAGTCTCTGACCAATGGATTGAGAAATACTTATGATAGAACAAAAAAAACAATTATATATTGGCTACTGAATATACTTAGTAAACTTCAAACATTTAGTATGAATTCACAAGATTTGGCTTAGTGGTGAGAGTTTAGATAGTTTGTATAGATACCTAAATTGAAACCCCATTATCATTATTATAAACTGAAAAGCATTTGTTGTGAACTAATATCGGATAAATGTTTGAGAAGGAATCAAAAATGATCTTTAGGTTCAAAAAAAGTATTTTAGCAACTCCCCATATAACTTATTTTTAACACCATATATTGTTTCCTTAAATTGTGTTAGGAAGGCTTTCATTTTGACTGAAAGCATATAGTCAACGTTGATTTATGACTACACAAAAGAAACTGATGAATTGATTGTAATGGAAAGGAATGCTAGGGTCTGATTTCTTTATTTTATTTTACTTTTACGTTTAACAATATGAAAATGCATTTCAACTTCCAAAGTGGATTGGCAAATATATTATCAAGTGAAATAATAAGGAGAAAGTATTTTTCTTGCCTTTGTTGATTATGAATGGAAAGATAAATCATTTTATCCGGTAAAGTGCTGCAAGTTTTCCATTCATATCACTAGCTAGTTATGGTTCATTCTCATAATGCCAACAAGTTCTATAATTTCTCATACAATGTTAAATCATATATGAGAAATCAAGCCTTTTAATTCAGTAGTTGTAAAGCTTGCCTTGAAATACGGGGTCGACTTGAAACTCTCGGGATTGATTTTTGCAATGTTAAAATAATGTTTGATTAGCGGAAATCAAGTCTTACAAGTACATATTAGTCCTTGATTATCAATTTTCGGATACTACGTAAACCATCCTTTTGATTATATGTGATTAACTATCCATTCTTTGGATTTCTATTCATAAAAGGGAATAACTAGTTGATGCAACTTAGTCATTGTCTCATTGATTAACTGAAAAGTTCAAATAATAATCCATATGTGATTATGCATGACATGACTATAGATACCATTCATAGCTGTCTCTTCCAACATATATAGTTTGTAGTTACTTTGGCATTATGTGTGGCAGGCCGGAATCTATGTTTGTCAAGCGAATTGTTGAAGAGATATTGAGTAAGCTGAACCGCTTACCTATCAATGTTGCCAAACATCCTGTTGGACTAGATTTGCCGGTAGAAGATATTAAATCACTTTTGGAAACTGGATTAGATGATGTGTGGTCTATAGGAATTTATGGAATTGGGGGAATTGGGAAAACAACACTGGCTAAGACTGTTTATAACCACATTGGTAGTAAGTTTGAGGCCAGTGCTTTCATTGCTGATGTTAGAGAAATTTCAAGTCAAAGATTTGGCATAGTTCAACTACAAGAGGCACTTCTTTCAGAGGTTTTGAACCATAGGGATTTTAAAGTAGGAAGCAAAGATAAAGGAATTAATCTGATAAAAACTAGACTTTGCTGTAAAAAGGTTCTCATAGTTGTTGATGATGTTGATTCATTGGAGCAACTGGAATCTTTGGTTGGAGAATACAGTTGGTTTGGATTAGGAAGTAGAATCATCATAACAACTAGAGATGAGCATTTGCTAGTTGCTCACAATGTGGAAGCATCCTACAAGGTCAAGGAATTAAGTCATGACCATGCTCTTGAACTGTTTTGTTGGTATGCTTTCAAACATCCCTTCCCTCAAATAAATTATGAAGAATTGTCCTTCCACATATTAAACTATGCCAAGGGCTTTCCATTGGCACTAACAGTTTTGGGGTCCCACTTGTGTGGTAGAGATAAAGCACAATGGATAAGTGCATTGGCTAAACTGGAAAAAGTTCCAAATAAGCATATTTTTGAAGTACTTAAAATCAGCTTTGATGGGATGGAAGAGAATGAAAAGACCATATTTCTTGATATTGCATGTTTCTTCAAGGGAGAGGACAAACAATATGTGAAAATGATACTAGACGGTTGTGATCTGCATTCAGATAGTGGGATTGGTGTTCTAATGGATAAGTCTCTCATCACTGTAGAACTGAACAAGCTTTGGATGCATGAGTTGCTACAAGAAATGGCTAAAGAAATTGTTCGCCGTGAATCTCCCAAAGAGCCTGGTAATCGTAGCAGACTCTGGTTTCATGAGGATGTGCTTCATGTATTGGACCAAAATATGGTATACTCTTCTCCTTCAATATATTTTTGTTTATATCAAAGTTCAAAGTTTCATTCGATTACCTAACTATTCTCTTTGTGTATTGCTTTTTTGCCACCAGGGAACCAATAACATCGAAGGAATAAGGCTAGATCTACCTGAACCAAATAATGTTGACATAAATGGAAAAGCATTGGCAAATATGAAAAAACTTAGACTTCTTAAGATCAATAATGCACATATTTCAGCTGACTTTCAATATTTATCTGATGAGCTAAGATTAATTGATTGGTCGGGGTACCCTTCTTCAACTCTTCCACAAAACTTTCACCCAAAGAGGCTAGTTTCTTTAAATCTGAGTCATGGTCGCATCAAAAACTTGTGGAAGGGAGTTAAGGTATAGAATTTCTGTTTCAATTAGTTGAATATTTTCTAAAATGTCAAAAGCTGTGGTGGTTTAATACTGTAGCTAGTTATATTTTCATTTTACTTACTTTCTTTTGTATATAATGACGATAAGAAAGTTAGAATTTAAGATCTTGAACCAAATTTTCACCGCCATCCCAACTCTAATGGTTCTTTTTCAATTTACTTTACTAATGATGTTTGTGTTTCTCAGATATTCAGAGACTTGAAACTTGTATCCTTTACCTGCTGTGAGTACCTCACTGAAATTCCAGACTTCTCAATGATTCCAAACCTTGAGAGTCTCTGCCTAGAACACTGTAACAGGTTAACTAAGGTGCATGAGTCTGTTGGATCCCTTGATAAACTTGCTACTTTAAATTTCTTACTATGCTCCAATCTCAAGACTCTTCCAAGTTGTTTCAAGTTAAAATCTCTACATACTCTTATCCTTACTGGCTGCTCAAAAGTTAGAAAGTTTCCTGAGATTGTTGAGAGAATGGCACATCTTGAAGAACTCCTTCTCCAGGGTACTGCCATAAAAGAACTACCACAGTCAATTGAATACCTTAATGGGTTGAAAGTCTTACTCTTAGATTCTTGCCAAATGCTAGAGCATCTCCCTAATAGCATTCACAGTTTGCAATGCCTTACTACACTTGGTCTCACCGACTGCCATAAGCTCAAGGAGCTTCCAAAACTTCCACCAAACACAAGATATTTAAACACAAGTAATTGCAAATCATTGGAAAGTTTACAAGCATTTTCCAACTCACCAAATTTCAGTGCAGGGAATTTACCAGTGTTTTCTGTAATGATGTTCATCAACTGCAATAAACTGATTAATAAACAGTTCCAGGACCACATAACAAATCTCTTGTATAATGAGGTAGATGCCAAATGCTTAGAGTCTATTTGAATACAAGTTTAGAAGTATTTTTTAGATATTTTTTACTAAAAATAAATAATATTTTTTAGGAGAAACTCTCAGAAACACTTTTAGCTTAGCTTGTATCCAAACAGACCTATCTCTCCGTGTTTTTCTAGGAAAATACTAAGGAACTAAAACTAAATTTTATGCTACAGGAGTTTGTTCATGAAGTTATGCTTCCAGGGAGCAACATCCCAGATTGGTTTCATCATCAGAGTACTAATAGTTCGATTTCTCTTATGGTGTCTTCAAGATTGTATGGTAAGATGGTGGAGTTGTTTTTTGGTGCAGTTTTGGAGTTGGACAAGGGTGATATTACAACTGGAATGTTTTCTTGTGGATACGAGGTTATTATCAACAATGAAAGGACATTTTTGATGGAAAGAAGGTTTGATTCATTGGACACGAGTCATGTGTGGCTGACTAAGAATAATTGTGGTTGTTTGATATGGCCACTCAACAGTATCCATCATTGGAATCACTTTAGGATTTCGTTTGGGGTATTTGAAGTCTCATCAAAGGTGAAAGTAAAAGCATCCCTGAAAAGCTGTGGTTTCCATATCTCGTCCAAGCAAGAAATGCATCTAATTGATCATGAAACAGTTAGAAATTTCCAATGCCACAAAGAATAGGATACACCTTAGTGCAGTATTGTTTCCAACTGTACTATCATTTTTATTAATTAAATGACTGTGGAAAGTTACTTCACACAGTGAGTGTATTACTTTTTTCTCTTGTTTTATATGTTCAGATGTAAGATATTAGTGAATTATAGCAGAGTGGAAAAGTGTATTAGCATTTGAATCAGTTGTCTATGTTTTTTTAACTTTAATGTGGTGTTTTTCATCGTATCGTGTGGAGTATTTGTGGATTGTATTTTCTACATCTTTGATTTCTTTTTTTTATTTTTAATTTCACTTCAAATTTATTGGTGGCTAATCTATGATGGTATTTTCAAAAACTGTGGCAAGTGATGATTTTGGCGAAGTGGCCACCAGAGTATGGAAATGACACAACCCAACTGAAATCATGACTTGCATCTGGAACGACCCGTTCTTAAACTAGAACAATCAGTTTTAAACTACGAATTTAAGTCTTTTTAGTAGTTTGAAACGGGTCGTTCTGGCCGGTTCTATGTACTATGTCTCTTTTAACAAAAAAAAATCATTATAAATATAATTTATTAAATATAATATTTATTATAAATGTAACTAATTAAATTTATTAAAACTCATTACAACAATAAAGATCAATGGTAGCGAGAACTAAATCCATGACCAATATTTGGACATGTCTTCCTAGTGTAACTAGAGGTGTGACAATATGAACAATTTTTTACACGATTATGTTGTTCTCTAATGTCCATCTTTATTTTAATCATGCTGGACTTTGACTAACCCTTGAAAGTTCTCTTGAGTTCTGGATTTGGCCACAAAGTTGGACCAGTGTAAGTAGGCCAATAATCTTCATGTCGAAGCTCTCCAAACTGTCCTTCGTATACCTTTGCAACTTGTTGTAAGGTATATATGGGAGATATGTAGGTTTGATAGTCGTGATGTGCATGTAAGCATGAAGCGAGTACATGCGAGCAAGGGATATGAACTTTCTGAAACTAGCCACAATCACACCACATTTCATCTAGCCTTACTGTAAATCTCCTAGCAGGTCGAAATTCTCTTAGATGTTGCATTTCTTCCACTAAAAATCTAGTGCTTGATCTGTCAAAGGTGATAACTCTATGAGTATTTGCCTTGGACTGTGCATCTTGAATAGTTTTACTTGCAATTTCTGAGTAGACATGTCCAACATTAATCATTGCATCAACTTCCTTGCCTCTTTGAATGAAGAACTTGTTGCAACGAGTGTATGTGGCTATTACCATAGAACAAATTGACAGATTTCGTGTTTTCTTCAATACAGAATTAATAGACTCAGCTAGGTTTGTTGTCATGTGTCCCCAACGTCGTCCATTGTCCCATGCTAGTGGCCATTTTTCCCTAGGAATGTTATCTAACCATTGGGCTGCTTCAGCATTAGTATCTCTTACTATGTTGTAATAGTAAAAGAATTTAGGTTCAGTCATCCATAGGCTGAAAAAATAATAATAATTAAATAATAAAAAATAATTATCAAACGTTTAAAAAAAAGTAATGATAAAATTACCCATGTTGACGACATCCTTCTTTAGTACTGTATTTTTGAATCGTCACATGAAGTTTTGTGCAATGTGTCGAATACAATAGACATGGACAAAATTGTTTTCTGTCCAACCACTTCAATTTCTTGAGTATGCACTTCGAATAGCCTCATGAAGATCAGAAATTAGGCACAACCCGTCTTGCAGTGTTACATACCGCCCTAAGTTCATAAGAAAAAAAAACCATGCATCGGTAGTTTCACTTTCAACAACAGCAAATGCAATAGGAATTATGTTGTTGCGACCGTCTTGTGCAACTGCGACCAATAGCATACCTTTGTATTTCCCGTATAAAAAGGTTCCATCGACTTGAACAATTGGTTTGCAGAAGGCAAAACCATCAATGCATGGTTTAAAGGTCCAAAATAACCTTTTGAATCTAACACTCCCCTTATCCAATAAGTCACCTTGGTAAGCCGGTTGTGTATTAAATTTCCAGATAAAGCCTGGAACATACATTTGCATTGCTTGCAACATACCTGGTAACTTGTTGTAAAACTCCTCCCAGTTTCCAAAGATGTTTTCAATGGCGTGTTGCTTGGCCAGCCATCCCTTTTTGTAACTGATTGTATAACCCATGGTCAACTTGATGTGGGCTATGATGGTTGAAATGGGTGTGGATGGATCAGCTTCAATAATTTCATGAATGGTGTGGATGAGTGGGTAAACACATGTGTGGGGGCCTTCAAGGATCATGATTTCCCAATGTTGTTCCCTAGTGCGCAATATAGCACGACATCTCCAGGCACAATCGTGGTGAACGCATTCCATGAGAAGCCTAGTAGTATTTGAGTGCTTAACCTTGTACGTGCAATAGTTGACGAAGTGAAATCTGTTAATAGAGTCTTGCACTTGTTCTTTTGTTTGGAAGCGTTGGCCAACAAAGAGTGTTCCAGGTGGATACACAACCATTTCACGTTCCAACAGATGACTATACTCAGTGTCGTGTTGAATTTCATTGGGAAAGTCTAAAAAGTGTGGAGGTGGGTTGTATATAGGTACTGGTTCTAATGGTGAATTATTTGGAACTGGGAGGATTTCTTCCTCATCATCATCTTGATGTTCAAAGAGAATTTCGTCTTCTTCCTCGCTAAAAGGATCAAAGACATTTTCTGTTGGGAAACCAACATGAAGATGATCTTCAATGTTGGTTTGAACATTGGGTTGAGAGGTAGAAGCTCTAGTTTGGTCAAATGGTTGAGAAGGTATTTGATTAAGGTCCATGACTGGACCAGTTAAAAGCTGTGTGTATGACTCAACGTCATGGTTAGAGGGAATATCATAAGAAGGGCAAGATGGGTTAACTATGATAAATTTTGTATGGTGAAACTTGTGGTGGATGTGATTCAATTATAGTAAAGGTAGCATATAATTCAATACCTGATTGAAATTTATTAGAATCACGAACATTGAAAAGTGTCTCAACGTCTTCATCATCAGTCAACTCAACACAGGTGTACTTACTAACTCCTGGGCCAAGTCTAATAGGGAAGCGGAAATGTATGCTAGCCACTCTCAAAATCTTGTCGATGTAGCTTTGTGTGGATGACTTTTTGTAACCTTTGTAGAGTAATTCCTCTCTTGATACAAACTAATTTTGCAGATGAGGACAAGAAGGTGACTCCTTCACTCGAACATTGGTTAATGGAACCATCTGAATGAACAATAACGTAGATTGAAGAAGCCATTTTATGAAGGTTGAAAGAAATTGAGAAGAGAGAACGAATGAAGGAGTGAAGGTAAGGTGAAGGTGAATGAAGAGAATGAAGGGTAGATGGTGTATTTATAATGGAAGGTTCAGACGCCAGAACGGGCCATTCCAAAACCAGAACGACTCGTTCTAAACTACAAAAAAAAAGCCTAAAACCCTATCTTGGAACGGGCCGTTCCAACATTAAGATTATCAACTAAAACGCAACTCTAGAACGGCCCGTTCTGGCTTAAGAACGGCCCGTTCTGGCTTAAGAACGGCCCGTTCTGGTGTTGAGAACGGTCCATTCTGGTTTAAGAACGACACGTTCTGGTTAAAGTACAACCGTTCTGGGTGAAGAACGGCCCGTTCTGGTTGAAGAACGGTCCGTTCTGGTTGAAGAACGACCCGTTCTGGTTGGTGAACGGCCCGTTCCAAAACGAAGAAAAAATTCATTTGAACAGTAACTAGTAAATAAATTTGCACATTTAGGTAAATTTTTTTAAAAATAATATTATTTCGGTAAAAATTTCTATTATATACATTAAATTTAAATATTATTGGTAAAATAATATATTATTATTTTATTGTTTAAATTGGTCGACTTATCATGGCTGTTATAGCTTTTTAAAAGTCTAAAATTAGGCTTTTTAATTAATTTATTTTAAAAGTTTAATTCTAATCTTTCTAATAAATAAAATGATTTAAATATATTTTTAGTCCCTCAAATTTGGAATAATTTTATTTTTAGTTTCTCAAATTTAAAATTGTTATTTTTAGTCCCTTTAATTTCAAAAAATCTTATTTTAGTCCTTATATTTAAATTTTGTTTAGAAATTTATCAAATATTATTGCATAAAATTTACCTATTGGTGTCCCTATTAATGAAATTATCATATTAAATCTGGTTGATATTACATAATTGTCTTAATTAGTCACTTTCAAATATGTTATTGGTAATCTAAAAAATTAAAACAAAACTTTTAAAAATTATAGAGACTAAAAATAATAATTTTAAATTTAAAGAACTAAAATCAAATTTATCTTAAATTTGAAAGATTAAAAATATATTTAAGTCTAATAACCGACCTTAATAAGCCGTTTTGCCTATTTCCATTTCCTATGGCCAGCATAAAAGAGCACACACAGGAGTTTGCAAAGAGGACAACATGGATTAAAAGTTCACCAAATCAATGTCTACTATGTGTTTTAATTAAATGGATAGGATAATAACTAAAATATGGCGGATCTAACACCCAGAGTCAGAGGGGGTAATATTTAAAAATAAAAGTTAATAATAATCATATATATATATATATATATATATATAAATATATAAAGATTATATATATATATATATATGAAGAGTAAAACATAAATATTAAAAATAGTTATCAATAAATTTAATATATAAAATTAGAAGTGTAAAATACAAAAATTTTATATTTGTATTAATAATTTAATTAAAACCAGAAGATATATTTGTTCACACTCACATTAATGTAGGTTTGCTACTACCTGTAGTAAGACCTTAAAGTATAAGACAAAGACCCATTATATTCTTGGATATATGAAACCAAATGGGACTTGATGGAGTTGACCAAACATATGATGTCTGTTACATACAATTCCATTAATTAATAACATATCTTTCTTATCTTTTATTATATTTCATTTCTTATATATCCTTTTTTCATAAAGTATTTTTTAAGAGAGAAAAAATACAGTACTTTTCAAAAAAATATATATACTTATGAAAATTAATATCAGAAAGAAAAATAATTTTACTCTTTTAATATAACATTGTGTTGTGAATTATTTATTTAATTTTATTAATTAAATGACACTAAAAGAAATTTTGAAATTACAAATGATCAAAATTCATAGGTAATCCAAAAAAATCTGTGGGTAACATTT